GGCTCACCACCAGACTCCCAGTCTTAGGGGATCTTTGAGCACTGCTTGTTCAGGGCAGACCTTGTCCCTCTCCCCACCTCCTTTCTCTTCTCACTTCAGGGATCCTGGCAGGTTAAATTTAGCCTGGGAGCCTGGTGGGAAGGGAAGGTAACTTGGCGATACATGCACTGCTTACCTCATTCCTGGCAGCAGCCAGGACTCCCCGGGGAAGGGGGCGAGCACTGGGCAGGCTGCCCACCTCCTTTCTGCTACTCCCCCGCCCACTGGGAACGCGCCTGTTCCCAACAAGGGGCAGAGAAGGTGGGCCCCGAGGATATTTGCAAGGATGTAAAAGGGACCCACACATTTCCCTAGCCTAGGAGTTGTTCCAGGAACTGCCGCTCTGAATCCCCAAGTCCACACCCCATCTCCAGTATTAAGCATTACACTTACTGAAATTCCACCGATTAGGGATGAAACAGCTGCCAGGATTGCCAGGATTAACGGATTAACATTCACTCACAGCGCTTTAAAATTAATCTAATCAGACTGCATTTATCCAAACAACTGACCAAATGATTTACAATGAAAGAAGGAAGTTCTGTTGTGTTTTCATTTGAGAGGAGGGTAGATACTTTCATGGGATTCATCAGACTTTAGGGGGAAAATAGGCCCGTATTAATTTATGCAGTAAAAGTATGGATTGGGAGGGAGAATAGGAGAAGTTACTAGATAAAACAACGGGTAGGCTTAGGGTTAGGGTTAGGGTTAGGTCCACTTGCCCATTTCAAAATATTGTGCCTAGGGCTGGCCACGCACCCAGGAGAGGGAGGGAATTTTTCAGTATCACCCCTTCTCTCAAGACCCAGAGTTCAGGTCAGTGAAATTCGTGTGAAGGAATTACATCAGCTGGCCTGGGGTCAAATAGGCTGTTTTGGGATGTCTGGAGACCTAATTGCCACCTCAACCACCACATCGAAGGTTGTGTTTATAGAAAAACGTCTCCTGGTTTCCAGATAACACACTTCCTAATGAACTTTCTGATGCAGCCCATTTAGAGTTAGAGATTGGATCAGGTTCAGGCCCGTGTAATGCGTCTGCGTTAACTTAAGATTTCAAGCCGATTTCCCCCAACCATCTGGATACTTCTAGGCCATTTCTCTGTGAGGGGTTATGCGTTTAGTGCATACAAACTCAGTGTTGTCATACAATAAGTGGAATTTAGATCCTTATCAAATTTAATGCATTCAAATTGAAACGTGCTTTAAAAAATTGTTTTAGGTTTTAGGTTTTTACTGCTCTGACCGGCCTCTGTTAATGAA